CTGATTTGTTTGGGGTGTAGTCTAGGCATTGGGGACATCCAAGAAACTCCCAGGTGATTAAAATTTGAGAACCATTGACAATAATGAAAGCAAGTCTATTAGGTCCCAGAAACGGAGAGCCACTGACATCACCTGGGAACTTGTTAGAATTGTAGATCCTCAGGCTCCATCTGCATTTTCATACCATTCTCCAGGTGACTTAATGTACTTTAAAGGTGAGCACTATTATGCTCGATAGCCTTTTAAAACAACACTTTATTGATCTATGTATGTCAGCACTTTAAAGAAATTAACAATTTCTGATGCTGTTGTTAGCTACCATTGAGGTGGTTTCAGATCATAGCACCTCTATGTACAACAGAACAAAAACACTGCTCATTCCTGCACCATCTTCACAATTGTTGCTATGCTTGAGCCCAGTTGTGGCAATGACCATGTCAATCCATCTTGGTGAGGTCCTCCTCTTTTTTTTTTGCTGGTGCTCTACTTTACTAAGCATGATTTCCTTCTTTAGAGAGATGTCCAGAATACATGAGCGTTCTGGCTATACTTCTTCCAAAACAGATACGTTCATTCTTCTAGCAGTCCATGGTATATTCAATATTCTTTGCGAACACCATAATTCAAATGCATCAATTCTTTTCTGGTCTTCCTTATTCTTTGTCCACTTTTTGCATGTGTATGAGGCTACTGAAAATACCATGGCTTGGGTCAGGTGTCCCTTAGTCTTCAAAGTGACATCTTTGCTTTTTCACACTATAAAGAGGTCTTTTGCAGCAGATTTACCCAGTGTGATACATCATTTCATTTCTTGATGACTGCTTCCATGGTTGATAACTGTAGACAGAAGTAAAATGAAATCCTTGACAACTTCAAGTTTTTTTTTCCCATTTACTTTGATGTTGCTTATTGGTCCAGTTGTGAGGATTTTTGTTTTCTTTATGTTGAAGTGTAATCCATATTAAAAGTTGTAGTCTTTGATCTTCATCAGTAAAGTGCTTCAAGTCTTCTTCAGTTTCAGCAAGCAGTGTTGTGTCATCAGCATACCGCAGGTTGTTAATGAATCTTTCTCCAATCCTGATGCTGTGTTCTTCATGTAGTCTACATCTAGGATTATTTGCTCAGTATACAGATTGAATAAGTATGGTGAAAGCATGTATCTCCCTGACACACACCTTTCCTGATTTTAGACCAGGCAGCATCCCCTTCTTCTGTATCTTCCAGCATTACAGCAACATGCAAACTATCAGTGTACGACAAACTGACAAGCGACTGGTGGAACAACTTCTGATAGTTACTAAAAATATTGGAGGCATGCAATTTAGTCCATTACCGCAAAAACATAAAAGCAATTGTGTTGCCATCCAGTCGATTCCAGCTCATGCTGACCCCATGTGTTACAGAGTAGAATTGTTCCATAGGGTTTTCTTGGCTGTACTCTTTACAGAGTCCCTGGATGGTACAAACCCACACAGAGGTGCCGAGGAGACAAACCTAGTGATCTGCTTCCCAAATATTACAGTGTTGAAAATTTGATGGAGCATTTCTATTCTGCACACATGGGGTCATTATGAGTAGAGACAGACTTCATGACAACTAACAACATCTTTACAGAAGCATATCACCACCCTGGTCTTTCCTCTGAGGAGCTTCTGGGTGGGTTTGAACTGCCAACTTTTAGGTTAGTAGATGACCATGAACCATTTAGGGACCCCTCATTTAGTGCATACTGACTCCAAATTCACTGTTCAGAAGGAAGGTTGGGCAATGTACTTCTGTAATGATACTGCCTTGGAAACCCAAGGAGGGGTCACTATGAGTTGGGTCCAACTTGACAGTAGTGAGAGAGAGTCCAAATTATCGACCCTTTATTAGACTGTCAGTGCACAGACACAAATTTGGTGAGTTTTGCTTGCATTGTAACAAAAGACATCAGTAATCCTAGCAGAGTGAAACCATGAGTGAAACAAATAGAGGTTAAGAAACCAAGCTTTTAGTAACTAGTTCCACATAGTTGCATAAGGTGTATTATTCATGATTCATTGCTATTCTTTTTTTAGGTTAATGGGCCTTTGAGTTTAGAAAATTGCACACTTGTTATTCTTTACCAAAGATGTACAACATAGATACATTCTTAATTTATGCAACTTTTCATTATGCAACACTAAGATCTTGGGATAGGAATATAAAGTCAGGAGAAAAAGATGTTGCTAAGCTTGTGTTTTCCTATAAAGTCTTTCTGGGTAGCATTGTTGGTAGAAAAATTAAATATACTGTGGAAAGGGCAATTGTGTGATATGTTACAGCAGTGCTTCTCAAACTTCAGCATGCATAGGAATCACCTGGAGATCTTGTTAAAATGCAGTTTCTGAGTCAGTAGGTTTGGAGTTGTCTGGGACTCTGCATTTCTTTTTAATTTCCTTTTTTTTTTTTTTTTAGTTTAGCATCCTTCCCCCCCCCCCCATTTTTACTATGATTTGGGTGAAAGTTAACAGAGCAAATTCATTTTCCATACAGCAATTCATACATATTTTGTTTCATGACATTGACTGCAGTTCCCCACAATGTAACAACAGCTCTCTTCCCATTTCCTCTCTGAGGTTACCTCTTCCCTGTGTCCTCCCCTCCCAAGCATTCCAATGCCCCCCATCTCCCTGTGCAAACACAGTCCTTCTGTTCTCCCATGATTGATGATTGATGGTTCCAAGGAGAGTATCTACCTGATACAAATGTTCAACCCATATGCCTGTCTATTGTTTGGCTGGAAGCCATAGGAGTGAGTACCTGAAGGGTGTCTGGGGGCCATAGTCTCAGGGGTCTCACCAGGCTCTATCAGGCCAGCAAACCTGGTCTTCTTTTTATTGAGACTCTGCATTTCTAGCAAACAGCTGTTGGGATGCTTACTGGTTCACAGACTACATTTTGAGTAACAAGTGGTTAGAGAACTGTCCCAGGACACCTTTTGGTACACTCTCATCTCAATGGCTCAAAAAATCAAGTGATCTGATATAAACACTAGAAAGGATGATTTTGTTGAAAGTTACTGATTTCCAGTTTTGAATGATCTGAAGCAATAGAAGGACAGAATTATTGAAAGACCTATTATTAATGGAAAGTTAATGGAGAAATAAAGAGTCATTTAAGGCAACACAAAATGGTAACTCTACCTCAGATGACTACTAGGGCAAAATTTAAAAAAATGTTGCAAGCTGTCTGCATGCTTGAAGTAGCAATTTACATGCATAATTAGGTGCAATCAACAGTTTTGAAATGTAATATATTTTCTGGGTCTGTATTTACTTATGACAGATGCATAAAAAAAAGTCCCCAAAAAATAGTGATAGAAGGGAAAATGTTGGCGCTTAACAATCCAAAACCAAAACCAAAGCCACTGCCATTGGATTGAATCCAAATCATAGCAACCTTATAGACAGAGTAGTGTCTCATAGGGTTTCCAAGGCTGTAATCTGTCTAGAAGTAGACTGCCATATCTTGTTTCTGCAGAGTGGTTGGTGGGTTCTACTAGATGGCAATGTGTCCCCCCCCCCCCCCCCGCAGCCCTGGGTTTATCTTTAAAAGCAAGTGCCTAAATTTAGAACAAATGTAGTTGAAGTATTGTGTTTTTATTTTGATTTAATCTTCATTTCAACCTTGAAAGAAGTTCACAAACACATTTTGGAAGTAACCAGCATGGAAGAAAAATCCCTCTCCAGTCAGCTATCCCAGCTCCTGTCTGAACTAACGTTTGATTCTTATTTTTACATTGTAGAAGGGAAATCTGTCAAACTCAAAACTTCACAACTCAAACACCACTTCCTCCCTGCCTTCCAACCTAAATCAAACCCACTGCAGCTGACTGGACTTGAGCTGATAGTGACCCAACAGGACAGAGTAGAACTGCCCCATAGGGTTTTCAAGGCTGTAATCTTTACTATATCTTTATGGAACTAGACTGCCACGTTTCTCCTGTGGAATGGCTGGTAGGTTCGAACTGCCAACCTTTTGGTTAGCAGCTTAGCGCTTTAACCACTGCACTACCAGGGCTCCTTTCCATGCCTTCAGAGGGGGCTACATTGCTTCATTGTCTGAAGATACCAAATACCTTTTGTTGCTGCTGTTAGCTGCCATCAAGTCGGCCTTACACTCATACACAATGGGATTGGGCAGTAGTGATTCATAGGATTTACACCTCATGATTTAGGATTCATTTAAATAAAAAGATTAAAGTGGTAATTTCTTCTTCCTAAATATAAGATCCTCAGATGAGTGCTTATAACATCTTATTGTTCTCAGTATAACAAGCAATGTTTGTTAAGTGCTCACTATGTACCAAACACTCTGCTAAACACACAAATCATCTAATTCATTATTATAAAAACCTTGTGAGAGTTGTTTTTTATTGCCTTGTACTGGAGAGGAAGTGGAGAGTAAGTAAATTCTTCAAAGGCACACAGTTCTCTATTTTCTTGGCTGGTGCATTATTATATAAGGGGTCATAGTATCACTTAAAAATGATAGTGAATCTCAGGCTAAAGGAAGCTCATCTTATTTTCCACAAGTTCCCAATTTAGAAAAAGAACTTGCAATCTAGTTTTTAGAAAATTTTTAGAAAAAGGTAATTGAGGCCAAAAATATGGAGTTTGGTTACCAAACCGTTCTCTTCCCAAAGGCATAATCGGATTGAATTATCCAGATTTGCTGTCTACACTGATGAAAATAAAGTGGCAATTAATCTGTCATGCTAATTTTGTATTATTCACATTAGTAATGTAACTGCATCTATTGGGACAGTGTCTTGATATATAAAAGTTGTCTTTAGGTTAATACAAAGCAGTCACGAGATGAACAATACAATTTTCCAGTTCCATTAGACAAGTGTTATCTGTGATGCATTGTATGTCAGGAAAAAGCCACCCTCCACTAAGAAATACATGAATAGTTGATTTATCGTTTGATCCATTTGGGGGCATTATGGAACTCAAAGCCTAGAACAATGGGCTCTATTTAATATTAAACAGGTTTTTAATAACCCGCTGTTTCTCTCCGTAGTTGCTGGAAGGTCCTTCCTGGACGTGCAGAGTTGCAGTAACAGTTCCCGTGAAGTTGTAAGCTGCTCCCCAAGACCAATTGGTGTTAAATTTAGAAGTCATCCAGATCACCTGACTGACGGTGAGTCCCCATTTAAGAATTTCCAAGTCCACCTTTGCCATCTTACCTATATAACTACATATCTAAACGTAGGCGCAGCTTGCCGCCTGCCCCTGGGGTCACCACCATAGTATCCAGGAGACATGTCCTACTGAGGAAGCCCTTCCAGCACCCCAGAGCTCGCCACTTGGGAGAGGGCGCGTCCAGTTGGCGCCCACCTCAGGGCACATTGCAGTAAATGCCTGGCAGCGACTTCTCACTTTTCCTTCTTCCGCACCCATCGACCCTCAGCTGTCGACCTTTAAGCCAAACTCTGGGGCGCTGCGAGCCTCGCGTCCCAGTCATCCACGCAGGGTACCACCCCTTCCCGATGGAAACCGGCGATCCGGCAGGGGGCAAGGGTAGGTCGATTTTCTGCCTAGAATTTGCAACTGGCTTCTCTTGACTCCAGTTCTCTAGTGCAGGCTGTGTGGCGCGGAGCAGACGGAGGAGCGGGGGAGCTCTGGGATTCACACACACACGCACGCACGAGGAGAAGGGCTCGCCCGGGAGACACGCTTGGCCGCGGGAGGGAGGAAGGGAGGGAAGAGGTCTAGCGCCAACGTGGAGGGGTTCGCCTGGGGTGGGCGCAACCAGCCCTCCGCATGGTCCTTTGCCTCCCATCCTTGGCGCCACTACCTTGCACAGGTCGGAATACCCTTGGCTCCTCTGCATTGGAGAGGGGACTAGGGTGAGGGTCAGCGTGTGGTCAAGGGGCGGGGATGGTACATTTCACTTACACCTGACGTCCCCTGCTCTTGCTAGTTTAGCTCCGCGAATCCCAGCGTTTGCGTTTGTTCTTCCAGTAACTTTGTTCAGAAGATTGGAGGGGAGGGAAAACGCTGAGGAACCCAAGGAGAGGCTGGTACGCGGCGAGGATCCGGAGGCTGGGCTGGAGAGCAGGTCCCCTAGCAGCCTCGGGGCTGGGTGTGCGGCTGGGAGGCGCCGCCGCGGCTGCCGCCGGGATGCTCTCTGTTTAGCGGGACTGCCGGGGGCGCCTGAAGGCCACCGCTCCAAGGACACTCGGCCACCCGCTCCTCGCGCTTCCCTGCCCAGACGCCGTTAGTGCTGGAGCTGAGCAGGCGAGCGGTGCTGCGGGGAGCGCGGGCGAAGGGTGGCAGGAGGGAGGGCGCGCAGGAGGCGGCCCCTCCTCGGCAAGCCATGCGTACCACTGGCAGCTGAGGAGCCGCCGGGCGCCGCTGCCAAGTCTCCGCTCCGCTTTTGTCTTGCCCTCCAGTGAATGGGAAGATGGAGATGGATGTTGAGGGAGTTTCTCCGCGCCCGGAGCCCATCCCCCGCTCCCAGGGGGCTGGCGGAGCCTGCCCGGCGCAGCCACAGCCGCCCCAGCCCCAGCCACCACCGCCGCCGCCGCCGCTGCCGCAGCAGCTGGCTCAGGATGAAGTGCCCGGAGAGAGTGCCAGCGCTGAGGACAGCGACGACCCCGAGAAGAGACCCAACGGCGAGAAAGGCGAGAGCAAGGTAGGTCCACAGTGTTGCCGCTGTGACACCTTTTGAACAAAACCAAGGCGCTCTAGTAGTGACTGTCATTGTAACCCCTCCGCTCCGCAGCCCCCTTTCCTGGGGGTGGGAGGCAAATGTGGAGGAGGCGTGAGATTTAAGAGAATCCGTGGGCGATAGTGACTTTCCGAACTGGAAGGCGTGTGTAGAAGTCTGTCTTGGTTTTCGCGTTCAGCAGTATGTGCATAGAAAAAGTCTTCTGGTCATGAGATATGATGCCCAGAGCAGAGCATCTCAGGGGAGCAGTGTTGAGAGACCTTTGCTTGCCCTTACGGTATAACGGAGGCTTATTTGGATGGTTTAGGGGAAACATGTGTTCAGGAGTTGCCAGGTGGCTTCTGAGACTCCTTGGAGGGAGGTGACATCAACCTGAGATGACAAGAATGGGAGTAAAGTTTGGCTCATTTGCAGAATTGAGAGCACTGCTTAATCCAGTTCAAGGTCCTCCTCCTTGGCTGGTATCCGCCTATCTAGGAGGGCAGGGACCAAGCGCCTGGCAGCAGATGAGCCCTGCAAATGTTTTGCAGCCCTGCTGTGTCATTGTAGACCAGGGGATAGCTGCTCTGTACTATGGAGAGAGATCTTCAGGTAATTGGATTCCACTAAGAAATGACTCCAGGAGGAGCTCTGGTAGCATAGTGGCTAAGTCACTTGCCTGCTAACCAGACGGCTGGCGGTTCAAACCCACCAGCCACTCCTCGGAAGGAAGGTTGGGCAATCCTACTTCCGTAGTGATACTGCCTCGAAAATCCAAGGAGGGGTCGCTATGAGTCGGGGCCGACTCGACGGCACATAACAACAACAACAACAAGAAATGACTCTAACACCATTCTGGGGTTGATGTTTCTTCTTTTAAGAAAATTTTAAAATAGAGGAAATGGGATAGAAAAGAATGCCTTGGTAATATAAGTAGAATGCATTTATCATAGCTCTGTCTCTGGGTATAGTCTTTTTTTCCATACACGCTTGGAGTTTGTTTTTGTGGAAGCTAGTGTTGTTTAGTTGTATCTTTAGAGCGTGTACACATGTATTTGCTAAAACATTTTGAATTTGGCTGTTAATATGGGGGAAAGTTGGTTCAACAAATCAGGATACTGGAACAAACAAAGGGTCAGTCAATATACTTTTGCACACTTAAGGTAGTGTACAAGAAAATGGGCACTTCTGCTGGTTAGAAAAGAACTGCCTTTTTTGAAGTGCTTCTTCTTGGAGATAGCTTGGTGTTTGCTGGACTTTCCTAAGGCACTAGTGGATTAAGTAAATAACTGGAGCCCATCGGGATCACATGGAGTGCGTTGCTGTTTTGTATTTGGAGACAGGCTCACTTAACAAGTTGGGATTTGCAAATGCTCGAAATTGTTTTGTATTTTGAAACTGAGCTAAGAATCAAGATTGTTGTTTATCTACCAAGATCAGTATTGTAATTTAAATGGCAGTCTACCAAGGACCTGGAATTTGAACACTCTTTATCAGGATTGGGTGTCTTACAAATGCATACAAGATTTACATTGTGAAAACTATGATGAATTGTAATGTTCTAATATCCTCAGCTTTTTGGTTGCTCTTGATTTCATGAATATTGAATTTAATTGTCATGACTGCATATTTATTACTTTAAATGTCTGTGCTCAGTTCTATGAAATAACCATAATGTAGTATCATATTACCCAATTGAACTTTAAGTCTCTTTTTGCAAAATAGGTGTGAGGAATAATTAAAATATACAGCCAGTGCTGCTGTTTCCATATTGTTGGTTCAGTTTCCTAAGCATGTGAAATTCCTGCCATCAGCAAAAATCTGTGCTTATTTATTTCCCTTCGATGCACCGTACAGACTGTCTAATGTTCTACCAGTTGTGAGGAATGAGGAAGCCAATGCACTAGAAATATTACATCAGGTAAAGAAAACTGAAAGCAAGTTGATTACATTTACTTAATTAGCATGTGCAGATAATTGAGTATTCCGCTGATGTGATTTGCTTTATGTTTGTCTGCAATTTCTTGAGGGGGAAAGAAAATACCACATTTTTTTTTCCCCTCCAGGTGTTTGCCTTCAAATATTATGTTTCATCCTTCTCTTGACCCAGAAAGCATCTGTCTTAACCCTTTGTTTAACTCTGGTACTCTCCCACTGGTTCTTCTAAGAGTTTGAGGATGTTTGCTCTGTTTCCTACTTTAGTACCTGCCTTAGGCTTTGATAGATACAAGGCAAATTAGAAATGAATTTTTCTTAGCAAATCCTGGTTCATTAGTAGAGAGGCCTTAGGGTATCTAACCAAATTCTACCCAAAAGATATAAATGGAAGATGAACTGGGATAAAGTGAAATATGGTTTTACCAAGCTGTTTGGTGTGAAGTAGGGAGAGAGTCACAATAAGCTTTAAAAGCAGTTATGTGTACACATGATGTATAAGATTTTTCCCTTGCGCTCAAGACTAAAAAGAGTATGGACTGTGAAGACTGAGTCATTTGTCTTAAATCTGGATATGCCCCCTGATTGGTACATTTTCAAGTTATGATTTGGGGCTATGATTTACTCACTCATGAATTTATCCAGTTGTCTTATTGGAAAAGAAGGGCTGGTGGTTCAAACCCACCAGCCACTCCTTGGAAGGAAGGTTGGGCAATCGACTTTCATAGTGTTACCATCTCTGAAACCCAAGGAGAGGTCACTATGAGTCTGATCCAGCTCCATGGCAGTGAGTTTTTTTTTTTTTTTTATTGGAAAAGAAATTGGAGTTTAGTGCCAGATAAGCTTATCTCCTAAATTGTAGGTTCATGGTCATACATTCTCAGAAAGTCTCTGAAATAGGAAGAGAAGTTAGAGAACTGGATAATTCAAGAGATTTTTTTATGCCACGTTTCATGACATGACTGGCACTTTCTGTTTCTACAATAATGATGCCAGATTACTCTCGAGCTGCTGCTTCTCTTAACTTCTTTAAGAAAATGTAAAAGCAGCTACATTTTATTCCAAAAATTGGAGAAGACCCTATATAGATCATATCTTCCTCTTCTGTACCTGGAAGAGGTGTTAAACCCTTACAAAAATGGTCTGCTGTAATAACACCCAAAGATAATGTGGTATTAATACCCTTTGGGACTTAGTGAGGTATGTCCTTGCCCATTATTTTAAGACCTTCTTCCTCATACCTGAAAAGAGGGTCCTTTAAGCTAGACAAATTTCTTCCTTCTAGTCTTCCAAAAAAAAAAAAAAAAAAACAAACCCACTGCTATGGAGTTGGATCTGACTCATAGCAACCCCTCCTTGGGTTTCCGAGGTGGTATCACTATGGAAGTAGCTTGCCAAATCTTCCTACCGAGGAGTGGCTGGTGGGTTTGAACCACCAGACTTCTGCTTAGCAGTCAAGTGCCTTAGGCACTACACCCTCAGAGTTCCCTTCTTCTAGTCTTAGAGATGAATAAATGGTCACTGTCCTTGAGTAAAAGACCTTCAAATCTTTAAAGGTATTCTTGGCTCTGGAGTTGATCATTCTCAAAACCTTACAGAGTTTTCTACTGAACCTAAATATCCCATCTTTTTAGAGTCATGTAAAACTCTTCTGAAATGCTTTGGTTATGCCAAATAACTCTTGGATAGATACTTATGAAACTTTCTTTGGAAAAGTTAAAACATTTCTTGTAATGAGGACCAGTATCCTAGCATCTTATTGTATGTCCTCAAGTTAATGATGCAGGTGTGTGAAAATTCCACCCTTGATTCCAGAGAGCCATATAAATGATTTTTTATCCCCTTCAGCTTCAACTCATTCATGTTTTATTTCTCACTTATCTCTCTCTCTCTCTCTCTCTCTCTCTCTCTGTCTCTGTCTCTCTCTCTCTCTCTCACACACACACACACACACACACATTTTGTTCTTTATCATGATATTTTATATAGAAGAATGTTTTTATGGCCTGGATTTGAGGTAGCATGACCAAACTTTGTCTCTTCAGCTCTTGTTACAGCCCTAGTTTGCCATGTGTGTTATCCTTGTGATTTTGGATTAGAGGGACTGTCTGCTATTGCTACCAGTGATACCTCTTTGATGAATTACCCAGCCTATCCAGTACATTTTTTAAAGCCTTTTATTTTGAAATAATTTTAGATCTATAGAAACATTGCAAAAATAAGACAGACTTCTGTGTACTGCTTTACCCAGCTTTCTATAATGTTAATGTGCTACCTAATCATAATATGTATATCACGATTAAGAAATAACATTGGTACAATACTATTAGCTGGGTTTGTCCAATAAATTTTCTTGAATGAATGTGTAACATACTGACATTTTCTAATCTATTGTTCTAGGATTTAACATCTTTACACCTGAAAGGCTCTCTGATAGGGTATTTACGTGCCAAATTTAACTTCAGGGTGGCTGTTTCCCCTTTTTTCTGGTGCGTAGGAGCAGCTTGAAAAGTGCAAAAGTTGAGTTCCCTGAAGCTCTGCATCAGGCTGCAGTCAGCTCTGTGGGAGATACCACTTTAGCAAAGCTCTTGAGAGCTGTTAACTTGTGTGATGTGAGTCTTCTTTTTTATTTTATCCTGAAAAACATTCCTGCTCCAGGTAAGATAGTATTTGGGAGTGCAGAGAGTTGGTTTGCCATTAACCCCAACAAAGCCTCAAGTGGCAAATATGGATGGGAAAACGTAATTGATAAAATCAAGGAAGCTGACTTTGATGTCCAACTACATGAGTGTTTATTCCTGACAAGAAAAATAATGGAAGTCCTTTCTGTTTTTCTATTGTGTTAACCAGGTGGACTCAGATT